GGAACTATTCCATTTGCCGCAGTTTCGTTAGGGTTGCCAGATTTTTTATGTACGAAATCAGTACGTTAGACGTTTTCATGCTAAAAAAATCAGTACTTTTCAGTACATTTTTATTCAATGCAAAATTAATAATGTAAGTAACAGATAATTCTTTAAAACGCAAGAGAACTTGTTTTTAACAACACTTTTGTATATAAATAAAATATAGTTCATAAAAAACCTGTCAAAATGTAAATATCCTGCCAAAATGTTGGACAGGGTGTTTAAAGTGATGTAAAAAGGGCATTTTATGGTATAATCATGGTCAATGATGGGTTTTCTTCAGAGTTGAACGTTCTACAAAAGTGTCCAGTTCGGCGTAACTCAAACTCCCACCAGCGAGGTAGTACGGGACACTAAACCCAATATTTTCATGAAATTCACGTTTTTTTGCCCCTATCTCGTAAATAACAGTAGATACAGAAAAATTGCAATTTTCGAACTTGTAGGTCTTTCAATTTCCTACAAAAAAGTTCTAAAACACCAAGTCGCTAATATCTCTGTTTCTTGAGATATTAGGCTTTGAAATTGAGGTAGAGTGGAATTTTCATTGATTAAGCTAAAATGTGATGATTGTGAGAATTTTTTTTTAGGAAATTGAAAGACCTACAATTTCGTGAGATGCAATTATTCTGTACCTCTTTTTATTTGCGAGATAGAGGCAAAAGAGGAATTTTATGAAAATATTGGGTCTAGTGACCCGCACTAACGCGCGGGTGGGAGCTTGAGTTACGCCGCACTGGGCACTGCTATTTTTGTATTACATACATCTTGCAGTACGGGAACAGACTAACGGCAAATTGGTTGCAGGTTTGTATTTTCAAAGACACAAACCAAATGCAATGCAACCCGTTTTGATCGAATTTGGTTTGTGTCTTTGCTAATCCAAACCTGCAACCAATTTGCCGACAGTTAGTCTGTTCCCATACTGCAGGATTGGGGGTCAAGGTTCTTGGTGCTGTTATCACACGTGATGCAGTGCTCTGGATCAGGGGCTGTCGATGGCTCAAGACCGACCATACGTGGCGAAGAGTCACACCCTGCGAGAGGTGCCCCTGCTTTTTACTGAATATGGCGGATCTAGAGAGAACAACTCGATAAAATCCGTAAGTCCAGGTGTTAATCGGACCGTGCCTGCGGACTGAATGGCACTACGTTAGTGTGTCTTTTTACGGTGTACTCCAGTCACGTGGCGCCGTCTGGTTTTATTTAGTCTTTCCGGGGTACCGGGGCTCTGCCTCGGATGACCTCTCTCTTCCCCCTTACTCGTGGGATTCTATGGAAGAAAAACAAATTAATAAAAAAAACAATAAAAGCTCTGTGCCCTCTAACAGTGGGCAACAGTCAGCAGTCTCAGAGGTGCACGCGATGCCCAACGAGATTGCTGAACAAATGGCGATCGCGGCGGACGAACTGGGTGCAAATCCAAACGGCCAAGGCGCTCAACCCTCTCGGGACGCTGTAATGGACGAAATGGACTTTGATCCAAACGGCCTTCTCAGCAACCCGGTGGCCATGGATGTCGATACTGCCAAAATGGACTCTGGTTCAAATGGCAACGACATCCAAATACCCACAGACGAGGAGGAGGCGCTCTTATCGTCACAGCAGGAGGAAGCTAGTACTCCTAAAAGAAAACTCTCTGGAGCAGGTAAAAAGCGCTACAAATTCTACCTCTCCAGAGGTGTCAGCGAAAGCGAGGCCAAACGGCTAGCCATTATTCCGATGGCAAAAGGAAAAGCCGAACTGGCTTTGCTGGCTGGCACAAAGCTCAAGAGGAACCGATCGGTCAACCTCACATCTTCCCCGGTGGAGAACTCTCCCAAACGGAAACCAGGTCCAGCTGACAAAAGGGCCCATATGGGACCAAAGGTACCTAGTGTTAAGGCAACTTTTGCCGATGTCACAAAGGCGCCGACCTGTCAGGCGGACACTGGTAATGGGGTTAAGTTAGGGTTACTCCCCAAAGGGTACCCTAAGGCACTTTGGTCCTTAGACCAACTACAGGCCATTCAGACGGCCATCCTGGAGGAGGTGAGGCGGCAGCGAAAGGGCTCTGTGAAGCCCAAGTTTAGCGGTTGCACCTTCCGTCCGGGATGGATGTCCATTGGCTGCGGAGACGCTATAACACTGGAATGGCTGCGCAAGGTATCCCAAACCCTGAAGCCTTGGAAGGGCGCGGAAATTGTGGCAATGAATGCCACTGACGTGCCCAAACCCAGTGTGTACGTTGGGTACTTTCCGGAGCCATCAACCACTCCAGTGGACAGTATCCTTGGCCTTGTCGAGGGTCAGAACGAAGGGCTGCGGGTAGGTAGCTGGAGGGTGCTCAACAGGGTACAGAAGGGACCCACCACTGAGCTCACTCTAGCGGTTGACCCGCACTCAGCGGAGACACTCGACAAGCTGGGATACTTAGTCAATTATGGATATGGCAGGGTGCGCATCCATAAAAAAGGGAAGACGACTGAGTCGTCAGACCCGAAGGGTGCACAGCCTGCTATAGCCAGTTCCTCCTCCACTGCACAAAGTGCGTGCTTCAAAGAGGGACCTTGCGGTTCCAAGGACGTACCCAAGGGACTGCAAAGGTTACCTTCAGAGCAGTCAGGGGCAGCGGAGAAGGAAAAAGCACCTGTCCAGGAGTCCATAGAGCGGCCCTGCTGCTCAGAAGACACTCCTGGCACGGAAAAGAGGGTACCTTCCAGCCCAGAGAGATCAAAGGCCCCTTTCGCCCAAAATCCCTTCCGTCCTCCGCTAAATGCGAATCGGAGACAAGGTCGAGGGGAGATTTCAATGGAGGAGAAGACCCTGATGGCCACCAATAGGGGGAAAAAGATGGCCAAGCGGGCTTCAAGGCCGAAAAATGGCAAACCCCCCAAGCGATAGGCCTAGGCACATCAAGTGCCTGCAAGTGAACCTCCATCATGCAAAGGCGGCCTCTGACGTCTTATGCAGGAGGTTCAAAACAGAACTCTTGGATGTCGCATTCATCCAAGAACCGTGGGTTTTCGCCGGGGCTATTAAAGGCCTAAACGACTGTGATGGTAAGATAATTTACGATACCACACACTGCAGGCCCAGAGCGGCCATATTACTACGTAATAACATGACTTTTGTTCCCATTTCAGAGTTGACACAACAGGACTTAGCTGCTGTATGGACTAAAGTGCCCACTCAAATGGGAGAAGAAGAGGTCGTTCTCGCTTCAGCTTACCTCCCAGGCGACAGCTGTGAGATGCCCACAAGGGAAGTAATAGCCCTAGAGGAGTACTGCAGAAGGAGAAAGCTGAAACTAATAATGAGCTGTGACGCCAATGCCCATCACTGTGTTTGGGGCAGCTCGGACACCAATTCTAGAGGTGAGTCATTTCTTGAATTTATCACTAAGAACAACTTATTTATTCTTAACCGGGGTAATGAGCCGACCTTTGTCAATGCTATAAGAGGGGAGGTTCTAGACTTGACAATTTCCTCAACTAGCTTGTCGACCTTTATCTCAAACTGGCATGTCTCAAATGAGGTATCTATGTCGGACCACCGGCATATTCGATTCGATATAGAAGCCCAAAGAGTAACAAACCATGTTTACAGAAATCCCAGAAAAACAAACTGGGAACTCTTTCGCCTCCACATAGAGCGGGAAGTGAATGGTTCTACCGCACCAATTTCATCCGTCTATGAACTTGAGGACGAGGCGAGAAAGTTCCAAGATGTTCTTAAACAAGGTTTTGAAGAGAGCTGCCCACTGAGAACCAAGAAGTCTCAAAAGGAATTTCCCTTGGTGGAGCGATTCTCTCGGAAAACTAAGGAAAAGAGCCAGGAAACTTTTCAATAGGGCAAAGTCAACAGGTGACTGGACCGCCTACAAGTCAGCCCTAACCGCTTACAACTGTGAGCTCAGAAGGTCTAAAAGGGCTACGTGGCGTGAGCACTGCGGAAGTATTTCCTCTCTTCCAGAGGTGCATCGCCTTCAGAAGGCCCTTAAACTAGATCATCCGAAAGTCCTATGCACTTTGAAAAGACCAGATGGTACCTACACTGGCACCCCGGAAGAAACCAGCAGGCTTCTGCTAGAAACCCACTTCCCGGGATGTATTCCACAAGGCACATGTCCTTCGACAAACACGGCGAACGCTGTGTGCGCAAACAGGAGGACTAGAGGCCTAGCAGGAAGAATCGTCAGTGTGGAAAAGATATCGTGGGCCATTTCAACCTTTAGTGCATATAAATCCCCTGGTCCAGATGGTATCTTCCCATGCCTGCTGCAGCAGAGCTTGGGCTTAATATCAGGGCCACTAGTCAGATTGCTGAGAGCAAGACTCTTACTTGCTCACATACCAACAACATGGAGTGAAGTCAAAGTGGTCTTTATACCCAAAGTGGGGAAAAACTCAGCACAACTCCCAAAGGCGTACAGGCCAATTAGCCTCAGTTCCTTTCTAGTAAAGACACTAGAAAAACTTATTGACTTTCACATAAGGGATAACTTTCTCAGGAATAAGCCTCTGTGTCAGAGTCAGCACGCATACCAGGCAGGCAAATCTACTATTACTGCAATACATAGCCTAACTCAAGTCATTGAAAAGGCATTGCGGTATAAACAGATAGCTTTGTGTGCATTCCTGGACATATCAGGTGCTTTCGACAATACGTCTTATGAAGCAATATCGACAGCTATGATACGAAAGGATATTCCTGTCCTTCTAACGGATTGGATCATAAGCATGTTGAGGTCCAGAACCATAATAGCGGAACTAGGAGACGACAGGCAAGCAGTAAATGCCACCCGTGGCTGTCCTCAAGGGGGAGTCTTATCGCCCCTACTTTGGACACTGGTTGTTGACGAACTTCTTGAAAAGCTAAATGGCAATGGATTCAAGGCATATGGATATGCAGATGACCTAGTCATCTACGTTGTCGGCTGGCATGAGGACACAATTTGTTCCAGATTGCAAGCTGCGCTCAGTCTAACGGAAGACTGGTGTGCTTCAAAGGGATTGTCAATAAACCCGCAGAAGTCCACCGTTGTCCCATTTACCAATAGAAGGAAAGTCAACTTGACTAAACCCACTTTGGCAGGGACAGAAATTGAGTTCTCAGAAGAGGCGAAGTATCTAGGGGTAACTCTGGACAAAAGGCTCAATTGGAACTCACATCTCCTTAACATTACCAACAAGGCTACAAGGGCGTTTTATGCCTGCCAGAGACTCCATGGTAAAACTTGGGGAATATCACCCAAACTAACGTATTGGTCTTTCAATACGGTCGTGAAACCTGTTGTCACATATGCGGCACTGGCCTGGTGGCCAAAAGCAAAGAAAGCAAGTGCGTGTGCCACCTTGAGCAAGCTACACCGCTTGATCTGTGTGGCCATCACAGGAGCTATGCGCACCTGTCCAACGGATGCCCTCGGTATAATTACAGGCATTCCTCCTCTATCTATTCTGATAGAAAAGGAGGCCTGCTGGAGCTCCATACGGCTGCCCAATGTAATCAGCATGAAGAGTGGAGATCTTTGGGGTCACTTGGAGGTTCTCAAGCCTTTTATGGATGATCCCGCTATCAAGCTCACAGATATCATGCTACCGAAATTATCCTTTGATAAGCCCTACAAGGTCAGAATTCCTGAAAGGGACTGCTGTAAAGCGATAATATCTATGATTGACAAAGGGTCCCAAGTATGGTATACCGATGGATCAAAGATGGAAGACGGGAGTACTGGGGCAGGCGTGCTTGGACCAAGGTTCCAGAAAAGTCTGCCAATGGGCTCATACCCAACCATATTCCAGGCGGAGATCTTCGCAATCGAAGTCTGTGTTCGAGAATGTCTTCGGAGAAGGACAAACGGGGCCAGAATAAATATTATGTCGGATAGCCAGGCAGCACTAAGGGCCTTAGACTCATTTAAAACGACATCTAGGCTTGTGGACAGTTGTAAAACTCTTCTGAATAGCCTAGGAGCCCATAATAGAGTAACGCTGTGGTGGGTCCCTGGGCATGAAGGGTTTGAAGGCAACGAAAGGGCTGACTATCTCGCAAAACGTGGGGCCCAAACGCGAATGCATGGTCCCGAGCCTTTCTGTGGTACATCTATAGGATACACTGCAGAACTACTTAGGAGTTGGGAGGAATCTCAGATTGCTGCCCACTGGCGTAAGTCAAAGGGAATGAGACAATCAAAGAAATTCATAACTCCTTCCAAGAGGAACTCAGAAAGACTCCGTGAACTCAGCCGGGAGGGTCTTAGGACTATTACAGGCTACCTGACAGGACACTGCAAGCTAAGGTACCATCTAAACAAAATGGGGCTTTCTGTAGAGACGGACTGCAGGTTCTGTGGGCTGGCGGAGGAAACCTCGGAGCACATTCTGTGTGACTGCCCGCGTATCATGAATAGCAGACTGATGCACCTTGGGGAACGATTGTCTTCTCCATCCAAGATTTGGAACACGGCACCCTCCAATGTGCTTAATTTCTTGAATAGCCTAAGGTTGGAGTGACCACAATCAGGGTTTAGCACAATAGATCTTTTAGGTCGCAGCGCGAGTATACCCGACGTACTAATAATAATAATAATACTGCAGGATTTAATCAGATATAGTCCCAGGTCGTTCCGTCCACAGAATATCAGTAATCTAGCCATGCAAAAACAAAAATGTGACTCAATAGAACTTTTTGTGCTAATTTCAACCCTACAAAAATTATTTGGCTAAAGAAAAAAATAAAGGACATATCAATGGTTAAAGTTAAATTTTAAAATTTTTTTTAATATTATTATCTTTTGAACAATATGACCTATTAAAAAACTAATGACGCCAAAATAAAGGTAATTAGGCGATATTTCTCTTGGTGGACATAATTGTTTCCTTTCATTTATATTTTTAAGCCAGAAACACCTAATAATCAAAATATATATATATATATTTTTTTCTTTTTTTAATGGCGTAAAAGGTATTTAAATTATCTTTAAATTAGCATTAATACGTTTGTGATCGGTCAAATAGTTTCCGAGATATTATAAATATAAAAGTTAAACTTTAACCTTTTTTACTGGCTTTAGATTTTATTTGCGCCAAATAATCTTCATATGGTTGAAATCAGCATGGAAAGTTCTATTTAGCAAATTTTTTTTTTATTTCTTTATGGCTAAACGGTTGGTATTCTACACCACGGCTACTTCGGACTATTTCTGTCTAAATGCTGGAGTACGGGTACAGGCTAAATGTAAATAAGAAAAAGTTAACAAACAAATGTCAAATTAAACTCTGACTTTATTAAACACCTCAATGAGTACACTTGACAGTTTTCCATAAACTTAAAACGTTAAACAAGAAGTCTTCACATAATAGATGTTTTGCTATGTTACATTTAACCCAGTAAAGTCTTAATTATCCTGGAAACTGACTGAGCACCTTAAATAATTTTGACGGCCCTAAAAAGCCCCTAAATATCACCTAATTCCTCAGCAATATATATCTGTGTTCGACCAAAATTTATAAAGTTGGTCGGCTACCGTGACGTCAAGCGATTTTTCAATGTTTACTGGGCAATATTTTTAGCGATTTTTTCAATGTTTAACAATATTTGCAAAGCACATAAAAAGCACAAAATAATAAACCCAATTAAGCAGTAAAAAGTCTTCACTGGATGGATGTTTTGCTAAGTTACAGTCAACCCAGCAAAGTCTTAATTATCTCGGAAACTGGATGAGCTCCTATAATTATTTTGGTGACTCTAAAAAGCCCAAAAATAGCACGTAATTCCTCAATACTATTTATCCGTGTTCGACCAAAGTTTAAGAAGTGGGTTAGCTAGCGTGGCGTCAAACGGTTTTTCAGTGTTAACCGGGCAATATTTTTAAAGCCCATAAAAAGCACAAAAAAATAAGCCCAGAAAAGTAGTAAAAATACTTCATTGAATGAATGTTTTGCTAAGTTACGGTTAACTTAGCAAAGTCCTAATTATTTACCAAATGGTCGGAGCACAAAAAAAATGAAAAGTGGCCGAAAATAGCACACAATGAGCACAATAATACGAACAAATTTTTTCTTCATTTTTTCATTTTAGCGCCGCTAACTTGATTGAGCTATTTAATTGTGAAATCGTGACGTCTCAGCATTCTTAATTTTTTTGCAACAACAACAAAAAGTTTAAAACTTTTTTAAATCGAAAAACCTTCCGCACAAACTTTTTACAGAATTGAAATCGGTTCAGCCGTTTGGTCAGGCATCGCCGTCATGCGAAAGACATTTCATTTTTATTGTATATAGATACTAATTTATAAAGATGTTTGATTCATTCGAAGAATAAAAAAAAAGCGACAACCTCCCCACATGGTCTATGCAGTGTCGCGTATATTTTGTATCAAAGCGAAATAAAGCGCTCTAGAAAGCGAATAATATACATACAAACATATGCATGTACATATGTGCATGAACATGCAGTTACTAAACATAGTATTTGCCACTTTGAAGTTTCATCAATATGAATTATATTGCTATTGGAATTTATGTTCACCGTGTTTGTGTCGTTTGCATTTTTAACCGAGGAGGAGGTTATCAGTTCGTCGGAATATTTTTTTTTTTATGTATGTTACCGATAATTCTTTTTTCATCGGAAAGGTCGTGTCTCAGAGGTTGTTCCATACTGGTTTAGATCCGATCATTGGATCATGAAAAAAGAAACGGTACTCCTAAATTTTTATATGGTAATTGAAGTCGGTTTTGTTTTCTTCTTAAAAATTACTTGTTGTAAACTTGTTTGCCAGGTCATTTGCAATACCAGCATATTTGCAACAATTCAGAAGAGATAAATGACAATAAGGATGAGCTATTT